TCTGCGGAGATCGTGCGTGTCGAGTGCGCGAAATGCAGGCGAGAGTGCGATTCGCCGGGTGCCCGCGCAACCCTCTGCGGAGATGCGATTCGCCGGCTGCCCGCGCAACCCTCTGCGGAGATCGTGCGTGTCGAGTGCGCGAAATGCAGGCGAGAGTGCGATTTGGCGGGTGCCCGCGCAACCCTCTGCGGAGATCGTGCGCGTCGAGTGCGCGAAATGCAGGCGAGAGGCGTGGACTATCTGGGGAGCTGGGAGATGAGCACTGGTGACTTTGTAGTACAACTGTAGTACGCGGAGTAGCTGGGGAGCTGGAAGCTCAGAACTGGTGACTTTGTAGTACAACTTTAGTACGCGGAGGAATCTGTGGAGCTGGAAGCTGAGAACTGGCGACTTTGTAGTACAACTTTAGTACGCGGAGTAGCTGTGGAGCTGGAAGCTGAGAACTGGTGAGTTTCTAGTACAACTTTAGTACGCGGAGCAATCTGTGGAGCTGGAAGCTGAGAACTGAGAACTGGCGACTTTGTAGTACAACTTTAGTGCGCGGAGTAGCTGGGGAGCTGGAAGATGAGAACTGGCGACTTGGTAGTACAACTTTAGTACGCGGAGTAGCTGGGGAGTGGGAAGATGAGAACTGGCGACTTGGTAGTACAACTTGAGTACGCGGAGTATCTCGGGAGCTGGAAGATGAGCACTGGCGACTTTGTATTACGACTGTAGTACGCGGAGTAGCTGGGGAGCTGGAAGATGAGAACTGGCGACTTGGTAGTACAACTTATCCGGGGAGCTGGAAGATGAGAACTGGCGACTTGGTAGTAGAACTTTAGTACACGGAGCAATCTGTGGAGCTGGAAGATGAGAACTGGCGACTTTGTAGTACAACTTTACTACGCGGAGGCGACTTTCGAGAGGTGAAGAACTTGCAGAAAACAGGTGTTCCTGCGCTTCAGAAAGAGATACAGAGAGAGACACATACACACACAGACATAGATACACACACACACACAGAGACCCACACACTGCCTCAACACACTCGACTTAACACTTCACACTGAACACTTATAACGCACTTAACAGATAACTCGCACTCTGACTTCCTACGTGATGAAAAATGCTTTCGGGCCACTCGTCGTCTAGTTACCTTTATAATGTCCTTTCATAGAAGGACCAGTTACTGGTTTCTGTCAGATGTATGGTTTCAGGATGTTGCAAGTTTTAGATGGATTGAGTGTGTTTTAGAGCATCAACATTTCTTTGTGTTCCAGTCCATTTCGTACCGTGATTCGCATGGAATTGATGAGAACCTCATCAGCCTGATCATCGTTGAACTGAACCGTTAAAGCATTCAATAGCATTGCCTTCGCCCTTGACGCCAAAGCCCCTTGCGAACTGTTGTTCGCATGGAATTCGGCCACTATACACATTCCGGCCCGCATTTACTTGGAAATGTACATGTCTAGTGATGGTGGTTTTGCATATAGTTCATCTACCAATTCTACGTTGCTCCTGAGAAAACCATGAAACGCACCTGTGCAAGAAGTCGTGGCGCATCGCAACAAGCAATGGTGAAGGTGCCAAATGGTAGTTTGATCATGTTCGATATGTGTTCAATTCAGCCACGTGTATGATCGTTCCTTTGAACCTCTACCTGCGCAATGTGCATGTCGTCACAAGATCATGTAGCTTTGTCACAAGAAGAGAACTGTGAGTAGCACATTGCCAGAACAAGTGCAACAAACATCGCAAACATTGACGAGCCATAGCATCCACTGTGACACCGAAAGCGTTTGACAGGGGATGGATGGGGATGGGGAATCGAATCGATCAGCATGTTGACTGTGACCTCACAGTTGTATAAAGACTGGTACATGTCACCAATACATTGTTGTTTTCATCCCTGAGTAGATTATATAGGATAACCAAAGCTTTGCAGTGTGGAAAGCGACACAGTTGCCCTGTGATTGGAGGCCTCAAGATCTTCCCGACCTGGGTGGCTTTGCTGGATCATGCTCACTTGGAACCAATTCCCCTTTGTATGCTGTGCAGCTACATCAAGTCATTTCGCCTTTGAACATGTGGTGAACTTTCTTCCCGCAGTTTTGCTTTGTCCCTCAGGTGGTCAATCCCGTGTTCACGATGCATGCGCCGTGGCTTCTGCTGCCACCAGTGCTGCAAAATCTGCAGCAGCTGCCGTGACAGAGAAGAAGTCACTTGAGGAATCTGCACTTTGTCTTGAAGTGGCAACAATGGATGGCCCATGCCAATGCACTAATTAATTATTCCGCCCATGCTTATTCCACCGGCCCGTGGGTGCCCTAGCTACGGCATAGGCCATGACCATGGTACATCATATCTAGCAAGCCCACGTCAATATAACTCCACACCATTCCACGATGTTAAATTCTGACTTTGTTCGACAATTCCAATGAAGACTTTCGTGCAGTTGATGATATGTAGATAGATACAGGATCGGATCATTTATGTAAAGTAAAGCCTTTTCCCCTCGGAGAACAAAGCTTGGCATCCTCGTCCAAACTGGCAAGCTCGCTTGTGACAATGCCCTGTGCCACCCCACCTGGACCTAGGCCGAAACGAACTTCTTGGCCTGGCTGGTAGACGAGTTGCGGAGTCGACCAGATGAGGACAGCAACACTGAGTCCACCCATGGTCGACAGGCCGCGGACTTGCCACCTCTATGTGCCTCTATGCTTTCCAAGGGCAATTTGTCCTTTTGCTCGTCTCTTGCCAGTGTGATGTCTTACGATTGCAACTTGCGCGATCCCAGACTCCACAGCATTTGCAGACAAAGGATATTCAATTTCAAGACCGAACTTCGGCTGTTCATATGTGCGTTTTGTCGGCAGTTCGTTGTGCCTTTCTAGGAGCAACTTCCGCGAATACCTCGCAGCCATTTGGAGGAGGTGGCCAAAGTACCAAAGCAACTGGAGAAGCTAGTCATGAACACGCTCAGACGATCCGATGTGCGACATGAGTTGATCAAAACGGATGGATGAATATTATACAGTAACTATAAAATTAGACACCTTGATATGCCCACTGTGTCGAGGAAACTATTGCTTTTGGGATTTCTACTCTGCCTGGATATCCTGCTGCACGAGCTTAGTTTCACTCCCTTGCAGGCAAGGAATGGCATAGCTGGTCCAGGTATGTTCTTGTCTTGTTTCCCATGATTCGAGGTGAGGTAACTGGTTGAAGTATGTTGAAGTGCTTGAAAGAATTGTGGGCCTTTATTCGAATCCATTGTGACCCATTCGATTCCACCATCGTGCTGAGTGCAAGACTGCTGCTTTGAGGCGATTCGATCCTCACTTCAGCTGTTGCTGGGTTTTCGGCAGTGGGGCAGCTGGTCTTCAGGCAGAAAGTGGAAGGGCACTGGGTTTGGAGTTTGGACGGAAGCAGCTAATATGAGCAGGATTATTGGATTGGTCCTTGTGTAATATGATGTATTATCTGTTTATGAGCCAGCAGGGCCAACAATACCGCTTGAGAGGTTCGGCAGTTTGAGTGGCCTGGACCCTTTCATTGGTGAGAAGTCGGTGGTTCTTACAGATTTGTGCGTGGCCTGTACTGATTTGGTTTATATTATGTATATATATAGTTAGACTGACCTGACCTGACATAGATGATTTCAGATGGAACATGACACGAGAGGAGAAAATGTAGAAAAAGTATGTGAAGCAGCGCCAAGTGTTCATCACAACCACGAAATCCATTGTATACATATATGTATACGTATACATAGTATGAATAAATGAGTCCGAGAAGACTTGTCCGTACAGACAGGTGGAACATGTTTCTTCTATTTTCTTCTCAACTGTTAAAGACTCCTTTTGGTGCCATTGCTTGGGTCCCAAAATTGCTAGTCAACCGAGACTAGCAGCAGGTTGAAACACACAACTACACTACGTGCCATTGTACACACGGAGGATAATTGTCCTGCAGCAGGAATGGACGAAGATATTATGACATGTAGCTTGATCAATTCAACAACACCTTTATGCTTTGCAGCACCAGTGACAGAGTTGATAAAGTCAAACATGTTGTTAATATATACAGCCTGAGCAACTGAACCGACAAAAAACAGTCTAACACACGGAAGAAGGAACGCTGCACACACGATGTTGAGGTTCTTGCATAAGTCGCTACATCACCGAACCGGTCGGGCGGGCGAAGCTTCCGCGGAACATACCCTACACCGACAAGGTCAACCATGTTTGGATTCGCCGCAAGTGGCCGAGTTGACTCGTATAATCATATATATATATGACTATACAAAATCATAGAAACAGTAAACACCCTGTCCAGCCTGAACGCATACAACATGATAAGGACTGTAAACATAAGCTGGTGCAACGCGAACAAAAACGGTGCTATGTTTTGAGAAAAGGGCAAGCATGACTGAACCACTGTGCGAGGCAGCCACACTTCAGCCATTTGGATGCCTTTGGTGAAGCACGTGTCCAAACGCCGCGTGGGGGAGATGAGAAAGCCCGTGCTGGAAACGAAAAGTAAGCATGTCTGAAGGTGGTGACACCTGCAACTAAGGCGACAAGTGGACGGCGCACTAAAGCTACTGCGACGCTGAGCATCACAGAGCAAGGCACTTGTTGATCCTTGTGAGCCAACGCAATCAGGGACAACTTCTCACCAGATGAGTTTAAATATGTTCAAATGGTTTTTATGTTTTAATCCTGATTCCGGTTTCCTGAATTTGTAGGCGACTTCCTCCGCTTGTCGCTGCTAATCTTGTCCCTTGGATCCAGCGATTGGGTGGGCGACGTCGCAGCAAAACTGCACTCAGAGGTCGGCATACATGGACTGAGGAATGTGACTTTGATCCTGATGATCTTCGATGTCTCCTGGAGACTTGTCAGACAAAGGGAAGTGAATTCTTAGAGCTTACTTCTTTTGACTGGTTTCATGTGAGACGGGCCTTTTCAAAAACGAAGCAAACACTGGCAGGATGTATCACTACATCCGGGGCGAATCCTTCCTGAAGCTATACGTGCTATTCAACATGCTGGAATCTCGGTGAGTTTTGGAGAATAGAACAGGAACGTATCATCAACTTATGTCACTACAAAACACGATATCAGTAGTTTGACAGAGAAAGCACATGCATCCAATTACCCATCCTCTGAGAATTGATGAGTATTAGGTGTCGCATGGTGTCGCATGCAATACTTTATGCATAACATTCCCAAGGCACTGCGGAATACTGCTGGGTCCAAATTTGAGGGGGCAGGGATCGCTGAGAGTTTAACTCAACCCTCACTGATCTCACGCCCAACGTTGAGTCGGAGGCGGTGTGTGAGTTGACTTCATGATCTTCATTATATAGATAGTGATTTGAGTCAGTCCAGCAGCTCGGTTATAAGACCATGCTTTAAGGAGATGTTTGAGCGCTGGTGCAGATCAGTTGGAGTGGACTTGTTCGATCTTCTCTTGGCATCTGCTCGACACCCCTGGTATTCGCTGCTCCCAAAGTATTGTGCAACTCTAGTCTACTGCAACTCGGACCAGCTGAGCTGAAGTAGACTTGTGGAAGCAACTCAGTTTAGCAAGCTCAGAAGCAAACAAGAGGAGCAGCCAACTGCGAGTGGCTGTCACTTTCAGCGCCTCAAGCCGCACTGAACGTAAGGCTTCGTGCATGCGACTATGCACTTGATCCGCGTAATCCTACTGAATGTCGCTATCAATACATCATCCAATGCCGTTTTCCTCATCATTGCCTTTTTGTCCGCATTTATGTTTCTGCATTGAAAGATCCCGATGCATCATAGCAGGCGACCGGCGGTTATTCTTATCAAAACATGCACCTCCGAAGCATTCCCAGGTGACAAATAACTTTGCAGAGATCAAGTCCACAGTGTTCAAGCGCTATGAAGAGAAAAGCCTGTTTCCCATCATCACCAGTGACATTGTGGAGCGCTTCTATCTTCTTTTGGATATCATATTCGTTCTTGCAAGACTGAAGCTTGGCAGCGTTAGTAACGTCTTGCAACCTCAATGACCCAAGATGAGGCAATCATCGTCTCTTGAGAAGTTGAGAGGTTGCAACATCTTCACCTTCTTTGGTTGCGCAGAGATTGATTGGCTTGTTGATTGTTTGAGACGGCACACGGCACACGGATGGCACGGAGTGCTTGCCATTTAAGGAGCATCTCACAGCATTCCGGCACGTTCACAGCACTGGATATTTCTTTCTGGTTGTTTTCTCAGCGTGATGTCCTTTTGTTTTGCTCAACTCTCGGAAACATCCATCAGCTCGACATCAAATCAAACAGATGTGTCGTCAGGTTGTTCTTGCTGGTCGTCTTGGAGATCGGAACGGATTGGATCAAGTTTTGCTTGATTACGAAGTTCAGTGAGATGCAGACCAAGACATTTGAGGCGGGCTCAGTTCTCTACGAACGGTTAGGTGACTGGAGTCCATTGGCACAGATTGGCACTCTCAGCAGTTTGGATTCTGGACACAGAATAGGATTGGGAACAAAGTCAAGTTCAGAAACTGGCCCGGGATTGGCTGCTGCAGAGCCTACATATGATATCAAATGATACTGGAAAAAAAAAACACGTTGCAAGTCATAACGAGTCTCACAAGGGAGAAGATTTGCCGCTCTTTGCGTTGGCCAGGTGTACAGAGAGGTCTTGCTTGCTGACATACTGCTTTGCAGATGTGGCCAGCTGAGCAGCATCAGCCAGGTGGGAGCAGCAAGAGAGAAATGACATGCAACTCACATTTTTGGGTCGCTGCAAGTTATCCTCCAGCACCAGGCCGTTAATGGGAGGGTACCCAACAAACTAGCATGGTGTTCTATCGACCAACTTGCCAGAAGAGCCATGCAGAGTCTGTGGGAGTGCGAGGTCACTGGACAAGATTTCAATGTTCAGCCTGAAGCACATGGAAGCTTCAACAAGGCTGCTGAAGATTTCGGCTGTTGCTGTTTCTTCGTGCGTCTCGTGTAGGAAGAACCCGTGATATGAGTCATGGATAGTCATAGTCAGAGCCATGCTTCCAGCAGATTCCGACAGCCCAGCTTCCCAGGAGGGTGCCTTGAGGGATACAACAAGGGATGGCACTTCAGCTGAATGTGGTTCCGGTGACCGGTGTGTATCATTCCTGTGTACCCTCAGCCAAAGTCCTTTAAAGACAATCTCAGAATACATGTTGAAGTGACTTTCCAAGTTGTGTTTACTTTTGCATCCAGTCATTGTATGCCTTCGTATGCCTAGGAAAAGACAGGCAGACTTCCGGCAAAGACAGGCAAGACGACTGCCACGTTGGAAACTGTGTATGAAAGTGTTAACAGGGGCAGATGAAATCGCCACATTGTTTCGCAAGGTTTGTTGCATGGTAGCGCTGTTTGAAGTTGCATTGCACGAAACACTGTTCTGCCACAAACCTGTGCCGTGAGATGTGCACAGGCCAGCTCCGGTCGTGCCATACAGAGGCATTCATTCGTTCAGCCATGTCCTGCAGCGACGCCTTGGCTTCAGCGGTGTGCCCATGACTGGGATCCCAGAGACTTTCTGTTTCTAGTAGCTCCTTGCTCCTAGTGGCTTCTTATGGCTTCTTGCTCCGAGTAGTAAGGCCAGGAGCTACTAGTAGTGTCCTTGCTCTTCGTAGCGATGCCCTTTGTTCCTAGATGCAACAAAGTTACTTCTGCTTTCACGTTTGTCTACTTATATATATATAAGCCGACACCTCAAGAGAACTTGACCTCAGCTCAAGAGAACTTGGTAGATGATGTGCGCGGATTTTCCTGCAGGACGACCATTCTCGTGGTCCATTTTGTAGTTCTAGCACGTGCTCCTTGTGCAGCTGCTGTTCAGCATCCTCGAGCAACTGCCACTGGATGCAAGCAGAGAGAGCAGAACATGAATCATGTTGTGAACGTGTTGGTGAATCTTGTGTGTGTTTCTTACCGGCGCTTTGAGGTCAGCGTTTTTGCCGCAGCATTCTTTTTTGTTTGCTTGCTTGCGAAGCCTGGCAGCATTTGGCAGACTGACTTTGGCTTTGTGAAGCCATTGAATTCAATATGATTCATATGGCATTTTTTGCATTGACAGAGAAGCAATGCCCAGATGATAGTGTTGATTCAGGAAGATTCTTTTTGGCCAGGTCCCAAGTTCAATATTCCCAAGTCAACACCTGCATGGCAAAGCTTGATTTTCTTTGGAACTTGCTGTCTCTAGCGATTGTGTGGCCTTCGTATTGGGAGCGTCATTTCGCCTTCCTGATGGTGCCTGGACGGCCCAATCAGGCATAGTCCTTCTCGGCTTTGCAGCCAGACGTCGTGCCCGAATCTCTCGAGGCGATGATATGTGTGCTTCTTGCTCCTAGTAGAAAGGCCAGGAGCCACTAGTAGCGTCCTTGCTCCTAGTAGCGATGCCCAAAATGTTTCTAGTAGCTTCTTGCTCCTATATAGTAGTAAGGCCAGGAGCTACTAGTCACGAAAGCTAGCATGCTAGCTGAGTTCTTCTTTGCTTTAGCAATTGGTAGTGGAATGAGCTGCGTGCCTTAAAGCTTGATATATCACACTAAGGGGGGGGGCCTGGCCCCCCCCACTCTAGCGTGATATATCACGCTAAGGACCCCCCCCC